AAAATAGCAGGATATAAAATAAACCCATCAACATTTCTATATATTACCAACAAAACCCTGCAGGAAGAGATAGGAAGAGATACCCCATTTAAAATAAATATATACACTATAAAGTACCTGGGAGTATACCTACCAAAACAAACCCAGGAACTACATAAACATAATTATAAAACACTTTTTCCACAAGTTAAATTTAAATAATTGGAGAAGCATTAATTGCTCATGGGTAGGCATGGCTAACATAATAAAAATGACTATTTTACCTAAATTAATCTATTTATTCAATGCCATCCTAAATAAACTGGCAAAAATTATTTTACTGAGCTAGAAAATATAATAACAAATTCACATGGAAGAACAAAAGGTCAAGAATATAAAACGAATTAATGAAAAAAATGTAAAGGAAGGAGGTTTACCAGTACTAAATCTTTTTGTTTGTTTGTTTGTGAGGCAATTGGGGTTAAGTGACTTACCTAGAGTCACACAGCTAGAGAATGCTATGTGTCTAAGGCTGGATTTGAACTCAGAAGTCCTCTGACTCCAGAGCTGGTGCTCTATCCACTGTGCCACCTAACTGCCTCCTGCAATACTACATCTTAAACTATACTATAAGGCAGTAATTACCAAAACTACCTGGTATTGACTAAAATAAAAAGGTAGATCAGCCTAACAGAGTAGACATACAATATACAGTAGCAAATGATTACAGTAACCTTGTGTTTGACAAATGTGAAGATTTAAGTTTTGGCATAAGAATTGATTATTTGGTAAAGACTGTTGGGAAAGATGGAAAGTAGTCTGGTAGAAATTAGTCATAGACTATTATCTTACACCATTTACCAAGATAAGGTCAAAGGGATACATGATCCAGATATAAAGAAGGATGATATAAGAAATCAGAAGCATATGGAACATATTACCTATCAGACTTATGGATAGTAAAATTTATGAATAAACAAGAGATAGAGAGCATTGAAGTATAAAATGGATAGTTTTGGTTACATTAAATTAAAAAAGTTTTGTACAAGTAAAACAAAAATAGCCTAGAAGGAAAACAGAAAATTGGGAGAAAGCTTTTATAATTTCTCAGATAAAGGTCTCACATCTCAAAAATATAAATAACTTTGTCAAATTTATAAGAATACAAGTCATCTTCAAATGATAAAGGGTCAAAGGATCAGTTCAAGTTTTGCGAGGTTTCTCTTTATCTTTGCTTTAAAAACAATAGTATTCTATCATTCATATGTACAATATTTTGTTTAGCCAATATCTAATTGATGAATTAATGGGCAGCACTTCAGTCTCCAATTATTTGGGACTACAAAAGGAGGTCCTATAAATATTTTTGTACATATGGAACCTTTTCATCTTTCTTTAATCTCCTTGGGGTTTATTAGTAGCAGCATTGTTGAGTGAAAGGGAATGCACAATTTAATAGCTTCTTGAGCATACAAGTCAAACCTCAACTTCTGAAGTTAAGGTTTCCTACAAAATGGTGGGAAAGTAAAAAAATGCAAATGTTGATATGCAAATCCCTCCTATGGGAAATAGGAGGCTAAGTTTCTGTGACCACCAAAAATTGCAATCTTTCACTAGAGATTGCTGAAAATATACTTTTCTGCATATAATTCTTTATAACAAAACATTAATTCTGACAATATAAACTTTTCCTAATATGGTAGCCATTAAACAGTCCATAAAATGCAGGAGAAGCAACATTGGATTGACTAATAAAATCACAAAACTTGTGAATGTTAGACTCATGAATATTGACAATTGACCATAGTTTCAAATTTTGCTTTCTAGAATGGCTGGACCAATTCACAGCTCTTGGTTTTATTTATTAATTCTATATTTTTTGTGGGTTGTTTGGTTGGAGCTTTTGTTTTGTTGCTTTCATTTTTGTTAATCTCCTTTATTTTTATGATTTTTATTTTGGTATTTAATTGGTAGTTTTAAACTTATTGGTTTCCTAGTTTTGTTGATTTGCTCTCTCATACTGATCAAAAACTTTATAGAGAAGGGGCAGCTAGGTGGTGCAGTGGATAGAGCACTGGCCCTGGATTCAGGAGGACCTGAGTTCAAATCTGGCCTCAGACCAGATACTTGACACTTACTAGCTGTGTGACCCTGGGCAAGTCACTTAACCCCCAATTGCCTAAAAAATAAAAAAAAATTTAAAAAAGAACATTACAGAGATAAAAAAAAGAATTCCTCTAAAAAGCTGCTATGTGTGGGTATAGAAATTTCAACAATCTCATTGTTGTCATTACCTTTAGTGAAATGATTGTTTCTATGATTTGTTGACACACTCATTCTTTAGGATTGTTGTTTAGTTTCTAATTAATTTTTAATCTTTGCTTCAAATACCCTTTATTGGATATAACTTCATTACCTAGTAGTAAGCAAAAGATGCATTTAATACTGCCACTTTTCTGCATTTATTTGTGAGGTTTTTAAGCCCTAATAAGCAATTTTTGTGAAGTTGCCACACACAACTGAGAAATAGGTAAATTCCTTTCTTTTTCCCTTCAATATTCTCTAGAGGTTTACCATATCTAACTCTTCTAAAATTCTATTCATCTCGTAAATTTTTTTCTTGTTTATTTTTTAGTTAGATTTATCTAAGAGGGGTTTAAACTGCAGTCCTCCACTATTAAAGTTTTACTTTCTATTTCATCAGGTAACTCATTTAATTCTTTAAGAATTTAGATGGTATATCAGTTGGTGCACATATGTTTAGTATGATTTTCATTTTCCTTTTAGCAAAAATGTAGCTTTCCCATAGCTTAACTCTTTTAATTAATTCTATTTTTGCTGTTGCTTTGGTGAGATCATGATTTCTATCCCTGACTTTTTTAACTTTTAACTCTGTGTGTATTTTTCTGTTTCAAATCCATTTCTTGTAACCAGTATATTGTTGAATTCTGGTTTCTAATCCATTTATTCTCTTCTGTTTTATGGGTAATTTCATCTTGTTCATAGGCAAAGTTATAATTGTTAATTTTGGATTTCATTCCACCCTATTTTCTTATACTTTCCCTTTTTTCCCCCTGTCCCCTCATTAATAGTTTGTTTTGTTTAATTAACACTAATCCCTCCTTTAATTGACTTTCCTTTTATTATCTTTCTCACTCCCTTTTCCTCTTGTTTACCTTTTGAGTGAAATGTATTTCTGTACCCATATGTGTATATGTATTCTTCCCCTTTTTTCAACCAAATAATAGTTAGATTTCAGTGTTGCCTGCTCTCCACTCCTACCTTTTTCTGTTTTTGTACAGACTTTTACATGGATATCCCTAATATGGGAAAAAAATTCCCCATCCTTTTCTCTTCCCTGCCCTCCCCCTAATGTATTTCTGTTTCCCTCCCTTTCCATTCTTCTTTTAAGATCATATAAATATAACATAATCTCTTTCAAGTCTTCTAATTAAGCTACCCCTGAAGATAGAGGTTCTGAGGAGATACATGTATTATCTCCATATAGTAGAATGTAAACAGTTTAACCTTGTTTTTCTCCTGTTTTCTTGTTCATATTTTCCTTTTTATGCTTCTCATGACTGATGTGTTTATATTTCAAAGTTTTTGTATATTTCTTGTTTTTCATCAGGAATACTTGGAAATCTTCTATTTCATTAAAGATTCATTTTTTTCCACTTTAGAATTATACTCCATTTTGCTGGTTAAGTTATTCTTGGCTGTAAGCCTAGATCTTTTGCCTTCTGGAATGTCACTTGCCAAGCTCCATTAGAACAGTGGCTGTTAAATCTTGTGGAATCTTGACTGTGGTTCCTTGGTACTTGCATTCTTTCTTTCTAGCTACTTGTAGTATTTTTTTTCTTTGAACTGAAAGTTTTAGATATTGGCTATGATGTTCCTAGACAATTTAATTTTGGCATTTCTTTTAGGTGCTGATCAGCGGATTCTTTCAATTTTTCATTTGCTTTCTGATTCTAAGAGATCTGCACAGTTTCCTTTTATAAATTCTTGAAATATGATGTATATACTTTCTTTTTGGCCATCATTCAAGTATGCCAATGATTCTTAAATGACACCTCCTTGATCTGTGGCCCAAGTCAGTTGTTTTTCCTATGAGAGACCTTTTATTTTTTTTTCTTCAATCTTTTGACTACATTTAAAGTTTTTGTTCTTTTAGTTCCAAGCTATTAATTCTCTTTCTGTATCTTTATTCCATAGTTTTTGGTGATTTTTTTTATATTTGCCTGGCATGCATGTGCTGTAAAAACAGTAAAATAGTTAGTATGGAAATAACTCAAGATGATGGCTAGCTTTGCTTAATGTCTTGTGAAATTTTTATGAACAAATCAAGTATAATTCTTAAGAATATATGTATTAATGGACTTTAAAAAAGAGAAATGACTAATGTGAAAACAAAAGCCATCAATGTCATTATTTTTCAAGACGGAAAGAAATTGCCAGTAGGGGATTATGAAGGAGAAAATATAAAAGAGATGTAGAAATGCCCCTAGCTTGTACAAAAGGTTTTGAAGTAACAGTTAAAGATAAAAAGATACCACATATACTATAAATATTACCTAATCTCAGTTGGGCCCTAATTCAGCATGATAATCTTTTTATTCCTCCTTGATTAACTCTCTATTATGTTCACCTCAGTAGTTGTTCCAAAACTTCTTTTCACAAGTTCCCTTAAACTTTTTCCAGCACCCTATCTTTTAGAAGATGATCTCACCTTCTACTTCACTGAGAAATTATGTCCATCCATCATAAATTCCCTAATATCCCCTACTATATTGCCTCAAAACTAGCTATACATCTATATCTGTCCCTCCCCCAAAGCCCTTGCTTTGTTCCACTAGAGAAATAGGTGACCTTTCTTCATGTTCAAGTCAACCACTCTATTTGTGTCCTTAATCTCATTTTCCCCAGGAGCTTATTGCAACAATCAATCCAATATTCAGTAAATATAGAATTTTGCACATCTTTGGATTATCATTCAAATTGATATTTGGGATACTGACCTGGGCAGGCAGAAGCAAACATAGGTAAGGAATGTTCTTCTTGCCTTTGATGGTGATATCGATGTATAAATTCTTTCTGACTTTCTAGGATACTGAAATCAACAGCTATTGTTGAATCAAATACATAATGTACACCTGCAAGGAAAACATAATTAGAATATTATTTCCAAATTATGAGGCAATTACTTTTAGGACACACTGTCACCATTGTTGCTCAAATAATTTCTATCAAGTTATCACCCATTAGAATCTCTTTAAAATGTTTAACCACCTAAACTGGAGGCAGGCTGCCAAGCTCCCCCAAACCAACTATAGAAAAACCCTAAAGTTTATATGAGACTGAATAATGACCAAGAAATCCAATAAGAAATCATAGTGAAATCTTTTCACCCTAGAACTCGCCAAAAAGTCAGCCAAAAGCCCATATCTAGTAGGAAAGCTGCCTCCCATCTCTCACTCTAAGCAAAGCAAGCCCTAGCACAACACATTAATCTCCACACTTCAGGTTCATTTTGTGTAACTTTCTTTGTGAACCTTGAAGACACTAGGGTTTTAAAGAGACAGCTATTTCTTCTCTTCCATTATGATATCAGCAATTCAGCAACATTTATTCCCTTTCATTTCTTCTAACGGATTTACATTTCTAGTTTCTTTTAACTCCTATTTCTGTGTTTCAAAGATTCTGCTCAGCTCTGGTCTTTTCATCAGGATTGCTTGAAAGTCCTCTACTATATTGAAAATCCATGCCACTGCTACCCCCTGCCCCATAGGCTTATACTCTGTCTTGCAGGCTAAAACTTTGTCTGTTGTCTTTTGGAATATTATATTCCAAGATTTTCTCTCCTTTAGGTATTTGCAGCATAGGTTTTTGGTGATCCTGATTGTGGTTCCTTGGCATTGGAACTCTTCTTTCTGACTCTTAGAATACTTTTTCTTTCAAGGTCTGGATTTTTGCTATGACATGAGTATTTTCAATTTGGGATTTCTTTCAGTTTGTTACCAGTAGATTTTATTTTTCACTTTTGTTTCTAATGCTAATACATCTGGGCAATGATTTTTTGAAATATGATATTTTTTGTTTGGTCATGTTTTTCAGGGAATTTGATGATTCTTAAAATTATTTTTCTTTGACCTGTCTTTGGTCTTTGTTTTTTATATTAGATACCTTATACTTAGGGGCAGCTAGGTGGCATAGTAGATAGAGTGCTGGTCTTGGACTCAGGAAGTCTCATCTTCCTGAATTCAAATCTGGCCTCAGATACTTACTAGCTGTATGATCCTGGGCAAGTCACTTAACCCCGTTTGTCTCAGTTCCTCATCTGTAAAATGAGTCAGAGAAAGAAATGGCAAACTACTCCAGTATCTTTGCCAACAAAACCCCAATTGGGAACACAAAGAGTCAGACACGACTGAAACAACTGAATGACAACAACCTGCTACTTTTTTTTTTCAATCTTGATTTTTCCCCCCTAATAGTTCTTATTTTTCTCCAGAACCAGATTTCTATTTTCTCTGTTCTACTTTTCAGAGAGTCAGCTACTGGGCAAGTTTTCCATTTTCTATTTTCCTTCCATAGCTTATTTCACTGGATTACTCTCCTTATAGATTTACCTCTTAACAAACAGAATTTCTTCACTATGCTCAGGCTTTTCCTTTTTACTCTTCTCAAGCTTCAGTTCCTGGTTTGATATTCTATGCTCCAGGGCCAGGTTCTACCCCTTATTCTCTTTGACAGAATGGTCAATCTATGTTTGATCCTGTTCTGATTTCTGTTGCTCCTGCAACAGAAAGGATTTCATCTCCTCTTCCACATCTGTGCTCAGAGTGTTAGCAGGTTTCAGGCCTTCCTAGAACAATTAGAACTTCAGGTGCTTTGTGGTGTTGCTGGTCTGAATGCTACTGGCTTCAAGCTCTCCCAGGGAATATTGTATGTTTAACCACCATGTCTCAGAAAAACAACGGGCACAACACATTTTTAAGTTTAATCTGCATTATTAACATTTTATCCATTACTTTCTTAAGTCTAGACAGTTCTTAAAACAATAAATTAGCTTATTACATTTGCTGATTTCCAAGGTTTCAGATTTCTTTATCTGAGTTTGCACTAGCTTCCTGAAAGAACTCCTCTCTCAGTGCCTCCTGTCTTTTTGTGCAAACCTGGGCTAGATAGAGGTTCTTGCCATTGTTTCTCTTTGGATTTCTGATCATTACTCAACATAATCAATATAACCCTTTCTAAATCTTTATTGGAGAAATTATGGGAGAGATGGACTCCTTTACAGCCTTTCTCATGGCCATCTTAATCACAAGTACCCCCACTGATACGACCTGTTATACTACACTCAAATCACTAGTAACTTCACTTCTCTGTGCTAGGAAGAACAATGAAGCACAATGTGGGCAGTGTAGACCACTACAATAACAACAACAAAAACCATCCTGTGAATGTGAGACAGTAAATGAAGCCAGCTTAACAATTAGGTTTTAATTTGAAATATCAAAAAACCCACCTCATTTTTATTAGCTAAGAGATAAGAGTTGAACAGTACTACTTATATAGTTTAAGCATATGAGGATCTGGTGTCCATGTGCCTTATCTACTGTCCTGCCAATTAAAAGAATGCCTAAAAGAAGGAAGGAAAGCATACTCCTGTCTCTAAGTAACACTATACGCTTAGTGTGTGTGTGTGTGTGTGTGTGTGTGTGTATGTATGTGTACACACACACATATGCATACATACATACATATGCAGAATTATGACAAAGAGGCTAAGGGACAAAGATTATAATTAAAATGCCAAATGCATCTTTCCTTCCTCCTCAAAAACTGTAATTGTGAAAAACCAACTTACCAAGACTTTTTAAGAAACCACAGAGTCTTTTTGATGCATCCGTTACACTGAGATTGAACTTGGCAGCAAAATAAGGCAAAGACTGAGGGCATATGGACACTGCCAACACTTTGTGGGCTGAAGTATCACATTTCTAAAAAGAAAAAAATAGACAAAATAAGTAAGTGTTCTATATTTATATAAAATGTCTCTCCAAAGAGCTTCAAGAATGTTTCACTACCCATTAAATCTTCTGACTACCTAATCGAGAAACCAAGTCCTGTTACTTCCACTTTCCAAAAGAAAGAAATGAGTCAGTGAAGTTGAATGACTTGTCCAAAACATCACATGATGAGGTAGTGGAAGAACTGGGAAAAGAACCTACACCCAAAATGTCAACCAACAATCTGCAATGCCACACATCAACCCAAAAGTTTCATGAATACGTTGACTTTATTTTTTATAGTCTTTCCATGCTGTGGACACATAGTCATTTCTACAAGACAATTATCTTGTCTGCATAATACCTGTTCTTTTACAACCCTAAATAAGCTCTTGGCATTCTTAACCATCTTGCTTTACTCTAAAAACAACCTCATTTGATGAAATAATAGACACACTTCTGACTAATACTGAAAGGAAACTTATAATCACATAGAAAAAACTTGAGAAGCAACACAACATAGCAAAAAAAATTCTGGATTATACTCAGGAGAGACTTGAGTTTAAATATGATTGCCTATACATACACATCTGCAATATGAGGGTTATAGTAATTATCTCCATAAGGTTATTGTGAAAATCAAAGGACATGTTTAGAAAGTGCTTTGTGAGTCTTAAAATGACATGTAAATATTAGTTATTATTATCTTCACAATTATAATTCTCCTTCAACCAGCTAGATGAATCAAAAAGACAGCAGGAAGACTGGGATGCATAAGTTATATCAGTCAGTCAATCAATAAAATTAATATAACACTTTTTATGTGCCAGGCACTGTGCTAAGAGCTGGGGATAAAAAAAGAGGGAAAAGACCGCTCTCAAGGAGCTCATAATCTAATGGAGGAAACAACAAACAATTCTGTACATAGAGAATAAGGAAGAAATGATTAATAGAGGAAAGGCATTAGAATTAAGAAAGGTTGAAATTAAAGAGGTTGAAAAAGACTTTCTGTAAAAGGTGAGATTTTAACTGACACTTAAAGGAAGTCGGGAGACAGAGATGAGGGAGAGCATTGCAGACATGGGAGACAGAGAAAATGCCTGGAGCCAACATGGAATGTCTTGATCATGGAACAGCCAGGACGTCACTGGATGGAAGGGTATGTGGCACAGACTAAGGTGTAAGATCCTGGGAAGGTGGAAAGAAGGGAAAAGAAGGACTAGGTTATGAAGGGACTTGAATGCCAAACAGAATTTTGTATCCTATAGGAGATAGGGAATCATTCAAGTTTATTGAACAGAAAGGGATGACATGGTTGGACATAAACTTTAAGAAAATCACTTTGGTAGCTGAATGAAGGATGGATTGGAGTGGAGAGAGACCCACCAGAGGGCTAGGTGTAATAATTCAAGTATGAAATGATGAGGGTCTGTACCCTAATAACTGCCACCCTCAGTGGCAGTATCAGAGGAGAGAAGGGGGCATATTTGAGAGATGTTGCAAAGGAGAAATTGACAGGCTACAGATTGAATAAAGGGGGTTAGAGATAGTAATGAGTCAAAGATCACAGGTTCTTAGCCTGGAAAAGGATAGTGGTGCTCTCAATAGTAAAGGAAAGTTTAGAGTAGAGAGAGTGCAGGGCAGAAAATAAGGAGTACAGTTTTGGACATATTAGTTTAAGATGTCTACTGAACATCCAGTAGGGGCAGTTAGGTGGTACAGTGGATACTGTGCTGGATCTGGAGTCAAGAGTTCAAATCTGGCCTCAGACACTTACTAGCTGTGTGATCCTTAATTGCTGTTTACCACAGTTCCCTCATTTTTAAAATGGGGGTAATAATAGCACCTACATCCCAAGGTTGTTATGAGGATCAAAGAAAATATGTGCCTAACACATAGAACTATATAAACGTTACATGTTATTATTATTATTATATCTGAAAGGCAATTGGAAATGCAAGATTGGAGGTCAGTGGAGTGGTTAGGGAAGGATTAGTTAGACCTGGAGAATCATCAGCATAGAAACAGTATTCATGGGAGCAGATTGAGATCACCAAGTGAAGTAGAAAAGAAAGGCCTCAGGAAAGAACCCTGTGAGGCACCTATGCTTAGAAGGCATAACCTGGATAAGGATTCAGCAAAGGTGACTGAGAAGGAGCAGTCAGATAGGTAGGAAGAGAACCAGAAGAGAGCAGTATTCCAAAAACCTAGAGAGAAGAGTATCAAGGACAGAGTAATTAACAGTGTCAAGCACTGCAGAGAGGACAAAAAACACTGGGCATTGAGAAAAGGCCTTTGGGTTTGGCGATTAAGAAATCATTGGTAACTTTTGAGAGAGCAGTTTCAGTAGAATCGTAAGATTGGAAGCTGTACTGTAAGGAATTAAGAAGTGAGAGGAAAGGAAGTAGAGGCACCTATTTTTATCAATGGCCTTTTCAAGGAGTTTAGCAACAAAGGGCAAAAGAGAGAAAGACTGGTATAGGCAGCAAGGATAGAAGGAGAAAGTGAGGGGTTTTTTAATGATGGGGGAGACATGGGTATGTCTGTAATGGAAAAGCAGCCAGTAGACAGGAAGAAATTGAAGATAAGTGAGAGTGGGGATGACAGAGAGGGCAATCTATTGGAGGAGATGGGACGAAATGGGATTGCTTGTGTTGGTAAAGGGGTTTGCCTTGGTAAGGAATGAGGCCACCTTTTTGTGAAAGACAGGGATTACCTGGGATAAAATATTTGAGTTTTCAAAAGGTGTTCAGAAGAAATCATAAGTTATTACTTTATGAGCCTATCAACAATTCTGTTGTATAAGTCAGTTTCACATGGATGTTTATTATACTAAATTTCTAAATCTTAAATACACTAAAGTTAAAAATGGGTTACAAAGTTTGGTCATAGCACTGGAATTATTGGAGGATACTCAGGCATACTTCTATACTCGTGACAACTCCCTTAAGATTCATTCCTGGCCAAAAAAGCAAACAATGGAGGGTGGCTCTTTTTAAAGAACCGTTGTAAAAAGGAGAATATGCTACCAGGTCTAGAAAAATTTAGCCTCATTATATTTGCTGGGTTCAGAGCAATGCTTCTATTTGTACAAAACATTGTTTTGTGCTTTATATCTATTTAACTATATTTTATACAGAAACAGATGATTTTTTTTTTGGTGATGCAATCGAGATTAAGTGACTTGCCCAAGGTCACACAGCTAGTACGTGTCAAATGTTTGGTCTGAGGCAGGATTTGAACTAAAGTCTTCCTGACTTCAGGGCCAGCACTCTATCCACTGTACCACCTAGCTGCCCCTGAGATGATATTTTTAAAAAAGTCTTATAAGTATGTAAAGTCAGATATCTTTTTTCTTCCTTTTGTATTTTTTCTCTTCCCCATATTTACTTTCTTCATCTTCAAAGGAAATCCATCCTGTAATGGATTTAAACATTTGATTTAGTTAGATAAATATTTGTTGAATTGAATTTTAAAGTAAAAGTCCTTAAGGGAGAGGTAGATTTAGAATCATATTGGACTTTATTTCCAACTTGTACCTACATCAAAACATGAAAAATCTCCTTAAATATTTATACTCTAATTTGCTCAATTCCACTAAAAATCCTATTTAATAAATTATCTTAATCTAGAATTTACTCATACCAAATACCTAGACATATCAGCATGTATTTGTAATAAATGTTTGTTGAGGCTACTGCAGTAATTAAAATAAAAAAGACCCATATACAAATCCTTCATAGTTATAAGCTCAGGAAAAGAGTTCAAAGCTGCTGGAGTCATGAAATGTTCCCTAGTCAGTGTCAACATCCACCATTCAGGTTCCTTACATATTAGGCAGATAGACAATGTATACAACAGAACACCTAAATAGCCAGTATACACTAATTTTATCAATGAAAGAAATTAAAGATACTCTAAAAGAAGGGGTAGAAGAATTATGTACCTAATAACCTGTATTAACTTTTTAAAAATCTACAAAATATAACAAAACCTGGGTCTCAAGTTTGCCCTTGTTTCTTTCACTATCTATTCAAGATTTCCTATAAAAACTAAAATTACTGCCAAATTAGATCCTTAATTTATGAAAGAAGAAAAACTCTATTGACAACCAGAAAGCAATGGATAAATGTCATTCTCTGTACAAATTTCAGACTGTCTTGGATTTTCAATAAATCTACAATTCTTTGCATTTAAATAATGATAAATAACATCATATTGACAAATGTTATATAGCCTTAGGGGTTATAACAATCAATTCATGAAAACTAATTAAAACTAAGCTGGTTACCCTTCAAGGTTAAAGTTCTGGTGGCTGTTATCTATCAATTCAAAGAATAGACATATTCCTTTTTTCCTCAATGAGTTCAGTACCTAACATACAGACTCTCTCTATCCTAATATCCAGCCTAATAGTAGGGCAACTCAATATACTTATGGACACTCCCACAAACATCCTTACCTCCTAGTTCCTAAACTTGTTCATTTCCCATGACCTACTCCTCCACTCTACTTCAGCTACATAGAGAGTCAAAGTGTTCATCTTGCCATCAGCCATAAATGGTCCACTCTCATGTTTATAAACTCAGAAATTCCTTTATCTGATCATAGTCTTTTTAAAAAAAAATTCTTTGTTTTAATCAGCTAGGATCTTCCTTCTCACCTGTCCACCCCAACCCTCCTTCCCACCAAAGGGAGAATACAATAAAAGCAAAGCTCATTACAAACAAGCAGAGTCGATAAAAATAAATTTCCACATTGGCTATGTCTGTCCAAAATTTGTCTTATTCTACATTCTGAGTCCTTCATCTCTCTGTCAGGAGGTAGATAGCATGTTTCATCCATCATTAGTCCTCTGGAATCCTTGTTGGTCATTATGCTGCTAAGAATTCAGTACAACAGTATTCAATCACATTTATATACCATGACTTGTTTATCCATTCCCCAAGTTATGAGCACCCCTTCAGATTCTCATCCTTTGCCATGTCAAA